CCGAGAGAGAGAGAGAGAGAGAGAGAGAGAGAGAGAGAGAGAGAGAGAGAGAGAGAGAGAGAGAGAGAGAGAGAGAGAGAGAGAGAGAGAAGACACGTAAAGTTGGTAACACAAATTTCACACAGTCGCAGGACAAAGCCAAAGAAGAAAAAATGTGTGAACCCGCTCGTGTATACGTGGACAGTAGTGGTGTCAGCCAGTGCTCTGTGACAGAAGTCATTCATTGTGAAAGACGCAGACGCGATGCAGAGAGATTAAGCTAAAGCCAATATGACAACAAATTATCATTAATCAGTTTGCTCTTCTCCAAAACAATATTTTTTGGCGTTAATTTGTTGGGGTCGCGTAACACTCGAAGGCACGCTGTCTTGAGGTGTGTTGTTTTTTTTTTAAAGACCCATTAAAACGTCGTTGTTCGTGCAGTCATGGAATGCTATGTGTATGGTCAACCGTTTTATACGGCTATGAAAGCTGGACAACCCCTAAAGACAGTGAAAATAAAACAGAAGCAACAGAAATGTGGTTTCTTGGAAGGCTGCTGAGAATATTGTGGAAGTAAAAGAAACCAAAAGAGGTAGTATTGAAGAAGCCCATAATTTTTTTTAAATCAGGAGAGGACGAATGCAGTTTCTGGGACATAATTTGAAAAGACAGTAGACATAAAGACCTCGAACATCTAACTTTCACTGGCAAAACTGAAGGCAAAGGAGGCAGGCGTGGACAAATAGCAATCTACTTGGAAAGCCTAAATAGAATTATGTAGGTGACGGGGAAAGATCAGGATAGGTCTAATAGTTTCCTTGAAAGCATCCGAGTAATGTAATGGGATGAATGGAGAACCACGATCGTCGATCTCTTCTATCGCAGATCAGGCACTTGATGATGATTCATGCACATTTTTTCTATTCTGTTCATCTGAAACGTGAAAAGGCACGCAACATCATGCGTAATAATAAATATGCAAATTCCCGTTTCTGACGTGTATATGATGCTACAGAAGGTGTCGCAACATCGCCTCTGGTCTGCCGGTAACTTTTAGTAAGCGTTTTACGGCACTTGCAACACAATTAGATTAGATCATTATAAGTACCGAAGACAACAGGTTTTGCAAGAAAATAACAAACAAAAAAGAAGGAGAGATAAGGCCGATAGATGTTTGATAGAAAAAAAGGAGCAAACCACACCAGAGCGCCAGCCAACCACACGCTGTGTCTGTTTCGTCCTGAAAGAGTTTAGCTGATCTTCTTTCAACTTCTCTCCTGAACAAGGGCGGTTTGAATTTTTAAAAGGACTGAGTTTTTTAAAGTACTGAATATTGGAAGGCAGGCAGATAGATGAGGATAATACAATACAAACATGTTTAAATGATTCATAAGAAGAGAGAGAGAGAGAGAGAGAGAGAGAGAGAGAGAGAGAGAGAGAGAGAGA